CACTGATAATAAATCAGCATATTAGAATGATTTCTGAAGGATCATGTGACACTGAAAACTGGATCACAGAAATAAATTATATTTTAAAGTATATTAACATAGGAAACCAATATTAGAAATTGCAATAATATATCACAATATTACTGTTTTTTCTGTATTTTTGATCAAATAAATACAGCCTTGAGCATAAGAGACTCCATTAAAAAACAAGGTCAATTATTTATAAGGTTTATAACATAGGCCTAACAATATAATATAATATCAAAACAAACTGAAGCATTTTAACTAATAGAATAGAATAGAATACAAACTGAAGCATTTAAACTAATAGAATAGAAAACAAACTGAAGCATTTAAACTAATAGAATAGAATAGAAAACAAACTGAAGCATTTAAACTGAGAACTGTAAGCTAAATATATATTTTAAAAAAACATGAACGTGAATTCTTCTATAGCTATCTAAACATCCCTATGAAGGATAGTTTGCACAATGCACCTGTGTGTGACTGTAAATTGTTACCGTTCTGTGCCTATCATCCGACTTAATCAAGCCACTCTTTTTTAATACATGATGACGTTTTATTTCACATGTCATTGGTTTGCGTTGGCTCTCGCGTTGAGCTATTTTGTCCGCAACTATTGAAGTATTCGGTACAGCGACTCATTTGGCGCACATCATTCTCTTTCTATGAAACCTGTAAACCGCATTCACCAGTTCTAACTCTATAGCGACATCAACTCTATAGCGGTTTGCCCGAGCATTGCAATTCTTTCGTAATTGATATCTGAATGACAGATCCCCATAGAAGTCGATGGAAAAAATTTCAAATGTGTTACTAATAACAGTAGAATAGTTACTTGTCACTATTGAAATAAGAACTAATATCTAATATGTACTATTATCTTTAAAAAGTTACTAGTAGCTAAAGAATAAGCACTAGTAGCTAATGAATAAGTACAAGTACTTAATGGAATAGATACTATTAGCTAAAAAATAAGTACCAGTAGTATTAAAATAGATGATAGTACGTTTTAAGCATTAAACGTTAAAATGGCTTGCCATATTACAACAGGTTTTGGTGCAAGAAATGGACTTCATAGTTCAAAAAATATTAAAGACATGTAGTTTGAAGTAAGGACGTCTCTGATTTAAAGACTCATTAGAGATGTATTTGTGTGTTGAGTTGCAGGATCAGGTGCATTTGTCCTGTCAGCGCCGGCGTTCTCCTTCTGTTTCCCGCTGCTGCAGGCAGTGTTGAGTCAGAGCAGCGGATCCTCAGAGGAGACTGAGCTCATGATGACCCGCGCACTGCAGGTCATCAACACACATGTACAGCTGCGGGCGAAATTCAACGAAACCGACACACTCATAGACGAGGTACCGTTGGGTTTTCAACTAGTTGCTTTGTCATTAATCTGCGTTTTTGATTTTATGATTTGTCAACTTTGCAGTAACTGAAATTTTGACACATCTGGATTTTAATTTGATCAGATATTAGTAGTTAGGAATAAATCAAGATTTATAAAGGCATGTAAGTGTTCTTATATTTAATTAAATAGCATGCAAATGAATGCCATACTTTTCTTTCATGACTTGTAGTGAATGAAGGAATTGTTAAATGATTGACCACAGTTACATACACCAAGGATATTATGAAATTAAAGGGTTAGTTCACCCAAAAATGAAAGTTAGCCTGTTATTTACTCACCCTCAAGCCATCCTAAGTGTATATGACTTTCTTCTTTCAGACAAATCCAATCTGAGTTGTATTAAAAATTGTCCTGGCTATTCCAAGCGTTATTATTATTGGGTGGGTGTTTCTGTTCAACAGTCCAAAACACGTGAAATAAAGTGCACGCATCCGTAATAAAACGTGCCTCACACGGCTCCGGTGGGAGAATAAAGGCCTCCTGTAGCGAATCCATGCGTTTTTGTAAGAAAAATATCCATATTTCAAGCGTAATAAACACTTCTCTCTCACGTCATCTAATTGTGGTACGCGGAAGCAGTTCTGGTGGATGACGTAGGACGTCGGCGTTGCGTGATTAGTGACGAACGCGGAGAGAGCACAAAACAAAACGCCGGTCATGAATTAGAAGTACAAACCGAGGATTTGTAAAGAAAAATGTTGGAGGATTTCAATATAAGCCAAGAGGAGACTGGTTTTCCTTCGCTAAAGTAAGGAAACTTTGCTTCTTTTGCTCCTGTTAACAAACTCGTGAGACTAGCATATCTCAGAGGCGCGTGACACATACGTCATCCTTCCACATACGACAGTCCACAGAAGTGAGAGAAAAGTGTTTATTACGTTTAAAATACGGATATTTTTCTTATCAAAACGCATGGATTCACTACAGGAGGCCTTTATTCACGCCCCGGAGCCGTGTGAGGCACGTTTTATTATGGATGCGCGCGCTTTATTTAACATGTTTTGGACTGTTAAAGAGAAACACCCGCCCACTGCAATAATAACGCTTGGAATAGCCAGGACAATTTTTAATATAACTACGACTGGATTCGTCTGAAAGAAGAAAGTCATATACACCTAGGATGACTTGAGGGTGAGTAATTGAATTTAGTTGGATTGTGTTATGTGTCATGTCAATTCAGGTTTAAACATTTTTTAAATATTCAGTTATACCATACATGATATTTTTATTATATAATATAAAAAAGTTTACAAAATGAGATTATTAAAGTTGTTCCGGTATAAAAAGAAATGTAGTAAAAAGAAATTAAAAATTCATTAATACAAATATACAGTCTTATCTTTATTTAAAAATATATATTTGAAAAAGATTATTAAAATTATTGAGTATTAAAAATAATTTTTAAATACTTTAAATACAGATTTTATTAAAAAATATTCACTTATACCTTTACAACCAAATAATATAAATTAATAGCTGAAGTTATTATTCTGAAATTATTAAAATTACATTCAGATATAAAACAGTGGAAATGTAGTAAATTGATTTAAAAATCAGTAATAAAAATATTCAGTTATGTTTATCTAAAAATATACAATTAAAGTAATAAATGAAAGTATTAAGATTATATTCAAGTTTAAAAATTTAATTTAATCATAAATTACAAATTCAATAATAAAACCTATTTATCTATATAAAAATTTAAATGAGTACAATTAAAATTTTATTCATGTTTAAAAAAAAAAAAAAAAAAAATTAAACAAGAATATATATTAAAAAAATTACTAATAAAAATGTAGCTTTTTCTGTGCATGTTATTAAAGAAAAATCTCATAAAAATGTCAGAAATGCACATTTAGAATGATTCTATCCATGTCTGTATAACTGAAACCCCAGCAGTTTATAATTAAGGTTTTTTTCTATTTGTCCAGAATGGCCCAGAGCTGCTGCCTAGAGTCAGTATGCTGCTGCTCTTGACCAAAGTGATCGGCACATCCACCCCTCGCCTTCAGGTAGAGACTCACATCCAGATCAGCACTCAGACACACACACAGTGTTTGAGGAGAGTTGTGATGGAGTGTGTGTGTGTGTGTGTTGTAGGTGCTGGCATCAGGCTGTCTGACGGCGCTGTGTGCCAGCGCTGGAGGGCAGGAGGGATGTGCGCTCGCTGAACAGCCTGAGATTGACGCTCTGCTGGAGGCTTTACTGTCCTCGTGCTTCTGTGTCAGAGACGCTGCGCTCAGGGTCAGTGCCTTTCTCTTTCTGACGCATGTTACATATTAAAAAATCCTTTTAATCAAAGCCAGTCGACTCGCTCTTGTAGGGTCTGCTGGAGATGGAGTTGGCGTTGCCCACCGACAGCGCTGACGCCAGCGGTCTGAAGATGCTGAGGAGACTGTGGGTGGCCAAATTTGATGTGGAGGAGGAGGGCAGAGCGCTGGCGGAGAAGTGAGTCGTGCACATTTTCACACTCCAGCTTCTGGTGCTGGTCCTAATGGGAGTTTGGTTGGTACTAAAGCTGCTTTCCAAATTCAGACACAGCAGGAAACAACACACAAGTTCATTTGAAAACGTGGATCTGGGAAATGGTTTATTATGTAGACTTCAGTGCAGTTCACGGTTGTTCTGAAAGCTATCCTGGCTAGTTTGTGGAAGTGAACTGCTGTTGATGTATAATTTTTATAGCTAATATTTGTCATAACATTTCTCATTTGTGTCAATAAAATAAAACAATGAATTATTTTACCAGCTGATAATAATAATAAAATAAATAAAAATGTTTCACCAGCTAAAATCATGGACATTTCTAAAAGTGAATACACATTTGTGTAAATAAAATAGTGAAAATAAAAGAAAAATATTATTTCACCAGCTAAAATAATATTTCTAAAGTGAATGCAAATTTGTGTCAAAATGAAATAAAATAAAAATACATTATTTTACCACCTAAAATAATGAACATTTGGAAAGTAAATATATGCATTTGTATACATAAAATGATAATATAAAGTAGATAATATATTGTTTCACCAGCTAAAATAATTGACATTTCTAAAGTGAATTTAAATATTTTGTGAACATTTATATCAAAGTAAAATTTTATAAAAAATATTTCACCCGTGAAAATAATTGAAATTTTAAAGTGATGCAATTGTGTAAATAAAAATACAGCTAAAAATAGACATTTTTAAAGTGAATATGCATTTGTCAAAATAAAATGAAAATTAATAAATAAATAAAATGTAAAAAAAAATATGATTTTACCTGCTAAAATAATTGGCATTTATGCATTTGTATAAAAAAATAAATAATGAACTGAAGTTTAGAGTTGAGATGTTGTGCAGTGGTGAGTCTTGCTCATGCAGTGTGTCTGTCTCAGACTCTGGCAGGCTCTGTGTCTGGATCTGGTCCCTGAGCTGTGTTCGCTCCTGATTGAGGATGTGATCCACCACGAGGAGGCGGTGCGTTCGGCGGGGGCCGAGGCTCTGTCCAGCGCTGTCAGTCAGTACCGCGAGCAGTCGGCCACCGTCCTGACCCAACTCACGGAGCTCTACCACCAGAAACTCTACGTGAGTCTCGCACCCCACATGAGTCTTTCATCACCGCAGCCTCCCAGAGAGAACCTCGATTGAGTTTAATCTGTGAAATTAAAACCGCTGCGTTCACTGTCATAAATCACTGAGACGCTCAATTTGAATTAATTTCCCTACTATTTAAACTTTAATGGCCGTCATTGTGAAGGCGAGTCATTGTGTATTGTGGTTTGCGTGAGTGAATGGGACGGCTTTGATTTAACGCTCAGTGATGTTTGTGTTCAGAGACCTCCTCCGGTTCTGGACACTCTGGGACGCGTCATTTCTGAAGCTCCTCCTGACCAATGGGAGGCCAGGTGAGAGAATGATTCCATGAGTTGTTATAGAAATTATAGTTGGAGAGTTTCTCTATTTTTTTATTTTGTTTGAGTTTAATTTTTCATTTTTAGTTTTCATTCATTCATTCATTCATGATATCTTTGGACAACATCTGTGTTAAGTGTCAGTTAATAAAAATTATAGCTCTTTAGAAAATTTCTCATTTTTAGCTTTTTGATTTCAGTTTAGTTTTAGTCTTTATTTTTAGCTTTCATTTATTTATTTATGATGTCTTTGGACAACATCTGCGGCAATGGCAGAGTTATAAAAAATATATTTTTTGGCGATTTCAGTTTAGTTTTAGTCTTTATTTTTAGTTTCCATTCCTTCCTTTCTTCATTTATTTATTTGTTATATCTGGTCAACATTTGTGCCGATGTTGAGGTTATATCTCTTCTTTTTTTCTTTTTCTTTTTGATTTTCTTTTTTATCTTTTCTTTTTATTTTATTTTTTATGATGTCTTTTGACAACATTTGTTGCAATGACAACTTATTAAAGAGGGGTATTATAAAAATTATAGTTTAGATTTTTTTTAGTTTTTTTTTTAGTTTATTTATTTGTTTTTTTGAACATGATTACTTTTTAGTTTTTGTTTCAGTTGGCTATTAGTTTTAATTTTCATCCTTATAACATTTAACCTTTTAACCAAAACCTTTTGTTTAGCTGGTTATGTTAAATGACTGCATATCTTGACACAGACAAGATTTTTATTTTATTTTTTATGATGTCTTTTGACAACATTTGTTGCAATGACAACTTATTAAACAGGGGTATTATAAAAATTATAGTTTAGAATTTTTTAAGTTTTTTTTTTAGTTTATTTATTTGTTTTTTTGAACATGATTACTTTTTAGTTTTTGTTTCAGTTGGCTATTAGTTTTAATTTTCATCCTTATAACATTTAACCTTTTAACCAAAACCTTTTGTTTAGCTGGTTATGTTAAATGACTGCATATCTTGACACAGACAAGCTAGTCATGTCATTCTCATGTTTATATGATTATATTAAACGTTCTGATTATACTTTCAAAACCTATTTTTAACATTCACAGTGCTGCACATTTGCCTACAGAACTTCATGCATATAATACATTCCTTGCATGTTTTGATCAGAAATATTTGTGATAATCAACATCATGCTACAGATGTGGTCCATGAGCGTCGAATTGAAAATCACCCAGAATTTTTCTTCAGTGGAGTTGATCAATCAGTTTCCTCCATGGATAGGGCTTGTGAGTGATGCGTTTCCTGTGTGCAGGTGCGGCATTGCTCTGGCGCTCAACAAACTGGCTGAGTTCCTGCATGAGAGTCAGGTGACGCCCCTCTTCCTGTTCTTTGTGCCGGACGCTCTGAACGACAGACACGCGGATGTGCGCCGCTGCATGCTGGACGCAGCGCTGTCCGCCCTCAACACACACGGCAAGGTACTCAAACTATCAAAAACATCCAAATAAATCTGGAAAAAAATTTAAACGAATTATTAGGACAAAAACAAAAAAAAAGTAAAATTACTGGTTACACTTTATTTTACGTTGTCCTTGTTACGGTGTAATTATGCATTTAAGTACTGATTAATAGGGATAGTATGTTTTGCATGATGATATGATGAATGGATGGTTCATTGTTAACAGCAGATTCATAAACTAAAACGAAACGAAACTAACAACAGTTATTGGAAAAACTAACTGAAATAAAATAATTATCAAAAATAAATAATCCCTGGCATGTGTAGGCAGCTGCCTAGGGCCGCTTTCTTCTCTTCTTTATACTTAATTTTAGGCGGTTTCTATAGTGTGATCTTAATGACAATATCGAGAGCGCATAATGTTACGCGATCCATGTGCGTGAGGACAAATCTCTGCACTCCCAAGCCGATTTCCTTCACTCACACAAAACTGGACGTGTACACGATGTATTAGTACATTTATTTTCATATTAAATATCTCAATACACATATTTAGTTATGACATTAAGCACAACGTGTGTAGATTTTTTTTGTAAAAAGGCTCGACTGCTTCATTTTGGTGTATATTTGTATAATTTTACCATTTAATCAATATCTTAGCATGCGTTAATTTTGTGTCGCTAGACGTTTGCCTATAAGGCAAAATTAAGTCTTTCTTTGGCCTGCGCTCTGGAAGTTATCTGTTAATTCTGCTAAACTTTAATTAAAACTGAAACTAAAACTGAAACTAAACTATATAAAAAACTAAATAAAAATGTGTTCACAAAATAAAAACTAAACTAAAACG